GGGGAATAATCAACTTTACATTATTGTGGCTCTTGTGGTAAAACTGGTCATAATATACGAACTTGTCAGGAGGATTTAGAAGACTCTAGTTTATCAGATTCTGAATAGTTTCAATTAATTTTATATGTTGTGATTATTGAATAATATTTTGAAATGATTGAGTAGTGAAAAAGTGCGCGAGGCACTGATATGCGCGAGGCACTGATAAACCACGTTATCTATATTTTGTATAATCTTTCAGATAATATAATCTCGGATTAGGGGATATAATTTGTATCAGGTTTTTGGACTCAACTTTTGGAATATTTAGGGATAACTTTTAAACACTCTTTTGTCTTTTATCTATAAACAGATAGATAAATAGAATATATAAATTCGATTCTGGAATAATACTTATATATCTTTATAAATTTCTATCAAAATAATTGAATAGAATAGTTACCCCTTACCGAATTTACTTCTAATAACATTGTATTAGAAACTATTAATTATTCACCCTTCTTTGTGAATTATAGATTCAACCTATAGTTAGGCATTGAATCTGATAAAATTTGCCCTCCAGATATAATAATAGTATAGAAACGGGAATTCTTTAAAAGAAATAAGATAACTAATCATATAAAGAGAATATTAGAATAATTCAAGATTCTCACAAATCAAACAATTACTCTATACAAGGAATATACAAATTGATATTGTTTAGATTCTTTATAGTATATTGTGACGGAACAGACGGCTCTCTTCCGCCCACTGGCTCATACTACATACATAGTATGATATGACGGCTCTTTTTGACCTTCCTTTCACAGCTTAGAGCCCTAGCTCTATAGCTCTAGACCTAGGCATCTTACGCCTAGGACTCTTTCACCCTTTTTGGCCTAGCCCTTATAGCTCCCAATACCTGTATATATAGTCCTCCTTTTAGCATCCTACATAGCTCTTCACTTGTAGATTCTAAATACACAATCGGAGTCCTGTTTATACCCTTTTGGTCACATTATCTACAAGTCAATACTCACAGCTACGATTAGGGATAGTCGTTAAATCTATCCAAATCTCCCTCTCAAAACTAATGCCGACTACATCGACACTATCTAGAAGTGAAGAATTCGCATCAGTCGATAACCTCAGATTTCCGTCAATAAAGTGACGACACGATAGTTCCTCCAAAAAAGAAAGGTCAAAGTGGCACTCCTGGTTCTAGCAATAGCAAAAATCAGTGTGACTCACCCGGCCATAAGCACGACGCCACCAGTACTCCTCTTGACTTTCTAAGAGCTCCTGGTGCCCTTCGTTGTTCCCCTCCTTTCTCTCCTGGATCACTACTTGGTAACAATCCCTATACTTCTCCTTCAATGGAAGAGGTACAGGAAACCATTACAATGAACCCCGGGAAACAACCAGGGCCTTACCCCTTTTTACCTATTTCCCCTACTTTGGAATCCTCCGCACTTGCGGAGAGCCGAGCCGACAATATCTATCTAATACAGGTCTTATATAAGATAGAACAAAAACTAGAGAAAGTACAAACTAAACTGGCGGAAAAAGATACTCCGTCTACCTCCACTTATAATAGGAATGGAGCATCTGATAAGCAAGCCCCATTGACCCACACTTCCCGCTCTCCCTTTGGTCATACTATTCAAGTCCCTGGCCCCATCATATCACGCTATACCCACCGTAATGATACCCTTTCTGAGAATGAGCCTGTCCCCTCTATCGAAAATCAAGGACCACATCGCCCCGCTTCCATTCCTGTACGCTCTCATCGTACTGTCAATTTCACACCTACGCCAGATACAGGAACGAATATCTGTTGTAAGAAAACTCACCAAGCTACCTCTGCCTTGCACTCCTCTTTTCAACAACTCCGAGTCCCTGACCTAGCCACGAAACTTTCAGATAGCCAAGCTCCTGGTCTCCGGGTATAAGCATGGGACAAGATGGTCACACATACTCTACAGGACTACCACACTCACTTTCTATCTGATGATCACCGTTGTACATAGATTTACAATCAAACCGAGGGACGGTCACGTAGTACCCTGGAACCTCTCTACTTGGACGATAAATATGATGTTTATGACCTCATTCAGCAAGTAGTTTTTGTTATACTAGATCCCTCTGCGGTTCGAACAACCAAAATCAAATACAACTCTCTTGTTATATTGCCCAGGGAAAGATTCTTCGATTTCTATTCCAAGTTTCGTGATCTTGCCGTTCAGGCAGAGATCCTCAACGACAAGCACTTCCGTAACAACCTATTCGATAAGGCAACATACCGCTTGACAAGTACTTCTAACCACAAGTTCGCACATTCCACCACAGTTGGTGAATATACCGAAATCCTAAACAACCTCGATATCGCCTATCAACGACTTGCTGCAACCCATACTCTTCATCCTCACCATTCTCTTCAGGGCACTCGCCCTACCCAATCATTTTCCACTTCCAGTGCTGCAATACCTCGTAAAAGTACCCCTGGAATATACAACAGACCTGTGGCACCCTCTGGCATGCCTTACCGCTTGCCCTCTGCCGCACCTATCCTCATTCCACGACATTTTTCAAGTGGACCCCCTCCTACTCCTTCCTCTGGTTTCAGACAAGCCACTCCTCAATACACACCTCGTACCTCTGCAGTCATCAATAAAATTGACAACAAGATGAATCCCGAGTTAGATATTGAAGAGTTCGATAACGATTATAATAGTCAAGAAATTGATCAAATTAACCAAATTGACCAAATTAACCAAATTAACCAGACAAAGGATTTTCTACCTCGTTCAAAAAAGGATACTCCATAAGTACCATCTCTCTTATAGGACAGATACAGGATATGTCATATCTTGACTTGCATACCCTCATAGGTGGCCGCTATCTCTCTTTTCCAATCACTCTGGTAAAAGATGGCATCGCACTCAAAACACAAGGTCTAATAGATTCCGGAGCCAACGGTTATGCTTTAATTGACCAGAACCTGGTAAAGCATCTTGACTACCGTACAAAACCAGTCACACGAAAACTACCGACTCCTATACCTATCAAAGGGTATAGTGGCATTGTCGGTTCACACATTTCTTATATTACTTACTTTACTTTAATAATCGATAAACACATTCAGTGTAACACTCCTTTCCTGATGCTCCCCTTGGGACATTATCCCATCATTCTAGGCCGCCAATAGCTAGATATTCATGATATTGGCTTAGACTATCATCGCCAACAACTTTAGTAGCGTACAGACTATCCTCCTACAGCATCTTATACCAAGTACTTCTACATCGATCCTCAGACTATGCATCTTCGCGATACCATCAACAGAAAACATCAGCAAAACGCTATTCGACAAGATACAGCAATCGACAGTGAAAACGCCTCCAAGGCCTTCCCCTTGAGAGAGTCTCTTGTCGTTGCCCCGACCAATCAAATCGCTCCTAGCCCTGGCGCCACCAGGCTAGCCAACACCTCATTAGCCAGTGCACAGACCAAGAAGACCAGAATCACCTCCTCGACCTCGACCTCCGACCTCCCTCGCACAAAAGTACCCTCAAACAGGAGAACCTTTGATAAATCCCTGGGCTTTGACCTTACCCGAATGTCAAGAGACCTCAGAGAACCCTACTCGAGTCCTCCGACACCCATAATTCGAAGAAAACATCCGATTTCGCCAAATTCACGATTCCCACCTACAGCGAAATCATTAGACATCCACGAAATCTCAGCTCACGCCTTCGAAATTGCCTGTACCAGGTCCTCAAAGAACGAACTGTTCACCTGCACTTTTCAGGAAGTAGATTCATTGCTTGATCAAAGACTCTTGGAGCAAGACAGAGAAGTTGAGATATCCACCATCGAAAAGGTTCTTACAAGAACTAACCGGAATCTCAACGAATCTGCCCTAAAGCTACTGGCTACACTTACTCCAGGAGAGCCTCTTGCCCCTGATAAGTATGCCTCCTTCCACGACATCTTCAGCAAGCAGAAATCAAACATTTTGCCTCCTTATCGCACTTACAATCATGCCATCACTTTCGAGAACTCAACCGAGACTAGCTTAGGCTACTCACCTCTCTATAAAATGTCTATCAACAAGCTTAAGGCAGTCAAGACCTACCTAACTGATAATCTGGCAAAAGGATTCATTGAACCTAATCAAGTACCATTCGCCGCCCCTATTCTGTTTATCAAAAAAGCAAATAGTAGCCTACGATTGTATATTGACTATCACAAACTCAATGCCCTGACACACAAGGATCGCTACCCTCTCCCCCTGATTGACGAGACCCTCGCACGTCTCCAAGGTGCTAAGATTTATACAAAACTTGATATTCGTCAAGCATTCCATCGTATTCGTATGGATCCCCAATCTGAAGAGTATACTACTTTTCGTACACGATATGGATCCTACAAATGTAAAGTCTTACCCTTTGGCCTGACCAACGGCCCAGCTACCTACCAGCGCTATATGAACGATATATTGTTCGACTATTTAGACGACTTCTGTACCGCATATCTCAACGACATCCTCATTTACTCTGAGAACGTCGAAGACCACAACGAACACGTACAGAAGATCCTCACACGCCTGCGCGCTGCCGGCCTACAGGTAGATCTCAAGAAATCCGAATTTGACGTTACCCGCACCAAGTACTTAGGATTCATCATCTCCACCAGTGGTGTAGAAGTTGATCCCAACAAGGTGGCAATTGTACACAACTGGCAATACCCAACTACCCTGAAAGGAATACAATCCTTCCTTGGGTTTTGCAATTTCTATCGACGATTTATACCTAGCTACGGTGTCATTGCCTCTGCTCTGGTGAACCTCACTCGAGCCAATGTCCCCTTTTCTTTCACGAAAGAATGCATGAATTCTTTCGATACCCTACAAAAGCAACTTACCTCTGCTCCCCTACTACAGCACTATGACTACAATTTGGAAAGCATGCTTGAAACAGATGCCTCTGATAGCGTCATTGCCACTGTATTGTCACAAAAGCATAGAGAACAGTGGTTGCCTGTAGCATACTTCTCGAAGACCATGCTTCCCGCCGAACTCAATTACCCCATCCATGACAAAGAACTGACTGCTATAGTCAAGGCCTTTGGTCATTGGAGATCCGAACTGATAGGATCACGCTTTAATGTGAAGGTATTCACTGATCACAAGGCATTGAAGTACTTTATAACCTCCAAACAGCTTAATAATAGACAAGCCCGCATTGCCGAACTTCTTGCCGACTTCAACTTCCTCATTATGTATCGTCCTAGCAAAGAGAACCCTCTAGCTGATACTCTCTCTCGCAAAGACGACGACATAGAAGTCACAAATAAACAAAAGAAGGAACAACGTATACTACCACTATTCACACAAGATCAGCTTGACCCCCGTATCCAAACACTCCTGGAATCCCCCGATATTGTTGCTCTTGAACACATCAAACCATTCATCAAGACAATAGATCACATACTACACCTCAACAAGACCTCCGAGACCCTCCATGCTTTACGCAAAGAGGCCTTGAAGCCCTTTTCAGACGAAGACAAGAAATCCCCATATACTATAATAGATGACCTCTTGCTCTACAATGAGAAACTAGTAATTCCAAGCGTGGAAAACCTCCGCACACTCCTTATCAGAGACGTACACACACAACCCCTCTCTGCACACCCAAGTGATACGAAAACCTCGAAAATGCTTTCAGACCACTACTACTGGAGAGGATTAAGAGATGATGTTGCCCGCTACATTCGCAATTGTGAAATATGCCGCCGTTCCAAGGTCCCTCGTGACAAGAAACCAGGACTCTTGAAACCCCTCAGCATACCGCAACGCCCCTGGCAACACATCACCATAGACTTCTGTAGCTTCAACAAAGATAAATATGGATATAACAATATCTTAGTCATTATCGATAAACTTACCAAACAAGCTATTTCTATTCCCTGTACTAAGGAATGTAGTGAAAAAGAGTTTGCCAAATTATTTATGTATCACATTTATCGCTACTACGGTTCTCCTACCTCTATACTCTCAGATCGAGGTACATAATTCGTTAATAAGTTCTGGAAAGAGTTCTCGACCATATTTGGTATCACCCTGGTATATTCCTCCATAGATCACCCTCAAACCAATAATTAAACAGAGATATACAACCAGTACTTACAGCAACGCTTACACCCCTATATCAGTTATTACCAAAATGATTGGTCACGTTTTCTACCATTTATGGATTACACACAACTAACATTGCCCCACGATTCTTTGGGTCAAATGACTCCTTTCGAAGTCCTCTACAGATACCCTCCTCGTGTCGAATGGGACTAGAAAGAACACAATTCTGATCCCCTCGACAAAATCAATATTCAGGAAGCCCATGAATTCGCTACTCGTACACATAGTACATAAGAATTTGCCCGCAATCAAATCCAACACGCTCAAGATCGAATAGCCCAACAACATAACAAACACCGCCGTGAACCTGACTTCAAAGTAGGTGACATAGTGTGGTTGGACTCTCGATACTACAAAACTCAGCAGCCCTCCCGCAAGCTCGACTTTCCCATCACTGGCAAGTACGAGATTGTAGAAAAAATTGGACAATCGTACCAACTTGCACTCCCGGCAACAATGCATATATTCGATATGTTTCCTCCCGAAAAACTCCGCCTCGCACCGGAAGACCCACTCCCAGAACAAATCAACCCTCCGCCATACCCCGTGAATATCACTGGCGAAGAAGAATGGGAAGTGGAGGAAGTATTAGCTTCAAAGTTGCGATACAAGAACGTTTTCTACCAGGTCTCCTGATTAGACCACCCTCTGGATACCACATGGTACAGAACAGATAATTTTAAATATTCCCCTCACAAACTTCAAGCTTATCACTTTAGTCATCCTAGCCAAGTAGGACCACCCATTGCCCTTACAGCATGGATAGAGAACCACGACAACGGAGTTGACAACTATAATGAGATCACAAGCGATTTGCCTATGAAAGGACACATAAGGTCACGCTTTTTCGAAGGGGGGGGTAATATGACGGAACAGACGGCTCTCTTCCGCCCACTGGCTCATACTACATACATAGTATGATATGACAGCTCTTTTTGACCTTCCTTTCACAGCTTAGAGCCCTAGCTCTATAGCTCTAGACCTAGGCATCTTACGCCTAGGACTCTTTCACCCTTTTTGGCCTAGCCCTTATGGCTCCCAATACCTGTATATATAGTCCTCCTTTTAGCATCCTACATAGCTCTTCACTTGTAGATTCTAAGTACATAATCGGAGTCCTGTTTATACCCTTTTGGTCACATATA